GTGTAACCAATGCTGCTAGAGACGGATGGGGGCGCAGCAGCAACCTGCAGCCCCATCATAATTTTTTGTGATTCTCGCTCACGTGGTACATCGCATGCTGAAACATCTGGAACTGATGCACTGCTGGCAGGATAACCAATGTATCTACACAAACCTGCGCCTTTGCCGGGCCTTGCGTCCACTTCAGCATCGCATAGGCCCGCCCGCTAGGTCGCCCAACGGGGAGGACTGTGAGCATCGTGACCCAGCGCAATACCAAGCACGCAAAGACAAATGGCGTATAGGGTCACGCTGCACTTGCAGACAAAAATTTCCCAGGGCAGCCCTCTCACTCGCAGACACACGAACTTTCCAAGGCGTTACAAAGCTCGCATCCGTTTCGTTCAAAATACATCCAGGCAGTCGACTATACTAAAGAAATGAATAAACGGCTTGAAGTACATTGTCTGAAGCCCAAATTTGGAAAGTAAGACAAGGAATTGAATCTATTCGAACTGAATTCTTGGAAAGGGCAAGAAAAGGTCAAGACAACAAAAAACTCGGGCATAGCTGCCATCGCTTGGAATGTTGCCGCGTAGCAGCAACTGCCGTCACACAATTGGACTCAGTTAGGCCCTTGCAACGCTCTGCGCTATGTATGAGAACATTTCTGAGCAGGTAAAGTGCTCCCACGTCCAATTCTAAATCAATGTCGTCTCAGTCTGTCAAGACACCCCAGTCGACCCACATCAGATCATGGTTGCCAGTGTCCCCTAGACTTGACGCCCCTCGCGGGGGCCGTTGGCCGACTTCAGGATTCCTTAAAAGCCTTAGCCCCCCCAAAATGGCGATTCCAATTATACAACAGCAGCTGCTGTCGAACAACTGCGCACCCCAGCTCAAACCTGGCACTCTGAGGTCCTGATTCCATCTCACAATCCTGAGACAGTTCCTCAATAAACAGTTCCTCATGGAATTCCTGTGCATATTTTCATGTTCAACTCAAACTTGAACTTATGATTGACTTTAGCTTTATGCATCTTAAAGATGATGAAGGTCATAAATACGTCCTGTCGCATGGAAATCTCTCCCAAAACCCACCCGCCAAATTTACCACCCCCCAAAATAACCTAACCACTCAGACCCTAGGTTTTCATCGTCCTCAGCCCCCGACGATAAAAAGAAATCTGTCCTCGCGTGGGTCTGTGCTCCTGACCAGCCGAGCTGGCAGCCACTTGCATCAGGAAACGCAGGGTGGGATGATGTTCAGAACGCCGCCCGCAGATCCCGCTGTCAATGGGCAGCTTGGAAGCACAGTTGTCACGAAACGCCCGCCGCGCAACAAAAAGCGCAGGAGCTCGGACCATGTGACCGAGTGAGCCCGATGAGCCACTGCCATATTTTACACCATGTGTGTAGGTATGTAAGGTCGTCAGCCAAGTTGCGGCTGGCCTGCGCGTCAGCCCTCGTGGCCTGAACAAATCAACCCCGACCATGAACACCACTGCCGTCGGGGTTTCTATCTAATTCCATCTGTCCGCCCGCAGCCGTGCTCTTATGCAGTTCCTGGAAACTCGGCAATGACGCTGCGTCCCCATATGACACGGCCGTGATCGGTTGATCGCACCCAAGGAAATTTCAGCACACCGACAGGTCTTGGATATTTTTTTGGAATTTGCCTTGGGCAGCATGTAGACCCAAGAACTGCTGTTCCCGGGCATCTGAGAAATCGGTGGGGTTTCATGCCATGGCACGTCGAGTTAACATGCGTCCACGGCCCTCACATCAGCACGCAGGCAGCCCCGGCCGGCGGCCCCAACCTCGGTCGACACCTGCAAACCTGTTAAACTTCTTGGATGGATGATTTCTATCAGCAACTGGCAGTCCAGGCCGATTCAACTGAAAAGCTGTGGCGAAGTTTTCCGCGAAAGTGGTGCGCAGGAGCCTTGGCCACGCCGAAATGAGTGGTTGCAGCATCGCGGCTGGTGCAAGCACAATGGACGCAGGTCCCTCGAATTGAGGTCCTAGCGGAATCTTTGCATATTATCCCACAACTCAACTAGCTATGAAATATTTATCTCAATTAAAGGACCGGAGAACCTCACATGCGTAGTTTAACCTAGATTTAAATGAGATATTATTAGGATAGCGTCGCCCGACGAAGGAAGTGCATGTATTAAAACGATGAAAAAGACAAGCTGACTCGCGATGATACGCAGAGCCACGAGAATACGAAAACGATCGTCCAACACGGCGTGCGAAGCTGGCAACACGACAAAATGCGGAAAACAAGAAAACAAAAATCGCGCGTGTTGACAACGATGAGCTGGACGTTCAGGTAGCCGAAATGATCTGTTCAGTGAAGAGGGACCTGAGCGTGGATCGTAAAGTGTTCAACTGGAACACGTAACCGAGCTCCAAGGACCGGACCACGTCGAGCATACGCCAGCAGGTTCCTGACAGGGGACCGGGCGCATGACTCGCGCAGGTCTATCGTCATCCTATGCAAGCAGTCCACACGAGTCAAAACTACCACACAACAGGTACGATGAGCTCGTGGTTCATGTAGTCGAAATGATCTGCTCAGTGAAGCAGCACCTGAGAGTGCATCGTAACTGCTCAAGTAGAACATGCAACCGAGCTCCAAGAACCGGACCATATCGAGCATACTCCAGCAGGTTCCTGGCAGTAGAAAGGGTACATGACTCATACAGGTCTATCGTCTATCGTCATCCGATGCAAACAGTCCACGCGAGTCAAATCTACCACGCAGTCCACACAGTGCTTTCTCTTACATCGCAGGGAAGGACTCTCCACACATGTTCAGATTCTGTACAAAAGGGGCTGCCTTGAACGAGATCGGCGGGTGAGCCCCGCATCCACTCGAGCTCGACATCTCAGACCTCATTAGATCATGATTCAATCTTTCTGCCCTGGCACTCATCTCCCCATCCTCTCTTCGCCCGGGGTCATCACCCAAGCTAGTCTTTCCAGGAGATATTGATCCTCGTCACCCCGCCTCTTCGGTTTCTCATGACGAGCCCTGAGTTAGCAACACGTTCCACCGCCTGCGCTGCAGAATACTCGGAACAACTGATGCGGTCGGACAAGAAGTCGGCGAACGAGTTCGGCAAGCTTTCCATCCCAGATTGCTCCCACTCACTACCTTCCAGCACCAGTGCCGAAGAGTCCACGCACATTTCATCGTCGCACGGATCAGCGGACAAGCTCACCGTCTTGCACGACGCATCAGTCGAGCAAGCCGAACACGCCACCACACATCAAGCGCTCACCCGCAAGTTTCCATAAGCGCTGCCGTCTCCGCCTCCATCACGGGAACAGCGTCCACAAATGGCTCCTGTGGATTGTCCGGATTGGTCCCTACGACGTACATTCCAGACACAGTCTCTGAATAGTAGTGCTGCAAAATGTACCGGTACACGTTGAGCTGCAGGCGATAGTGCCAGAGCACGCAATCGGGGACATCATCCAACGGGCATCGCATGCTTCTGCTGAAGGAGTTACATTCATCTTCCAGATTCCGCGTGCGCTTCCAATCGACGACAACCTTGGTCCCGTCCGCCTGCACGGCCACGTAGTCGATATGGCCACGTAGTCGATATACTTCCCGCCACATCTTCCTTGTCAGCGTACACCTTCCATTCCGTTCGGAAGGCAACCACATTTCGTTGAGACTCCAAGAACTTTGCAAGCAGAGCGACCTCCGGAGTTTTAAGTGGCAGAGAGCCGCCATTCAACAGACACTCGAGCTGGGCATGCATCCAGGTACCTTCCCGGCTTCCTCGGAGACGAGCTTCTTGCCATTTTTCTCGGATCTCGATTTCGGACAAGGACAACTCGTCCACAATATCATCGACTTCGGAGTTGTGCAAGAGGGCTGGACACACGGAGCTGCGCGACTTCCTGGCACACGCGAAGCTCATCCAGACGCTGCCACGCCAACACAGCGACAAGTTCCTCTACACCAGGCGTACCAGGCCCTTGAATTTCTGTAGTTGTATGATGTGTCCCAAAGACGGGGAAGCCATGGTTGTGTTGGTTGATTTCAGCCTCGTGTTTCTTCAGCCACTTAACGTGAGGGCCCGGGATTGGAAAAAAGGATCCATCTTGTGTTCATGTCTGTCGTGTTACTGCTTAGAACGCAGCGGAAGGCTGCAACTTCTGCTATGCTGCAGCTACCGGTTCCGACCTACCCGTGTGTCCATGCGCAGGTCTTTCTGAGAATCCCCAGCATGTCTGTAAGTTCACTCATGTCTGAGACGGTTCTGGCACCTTTGATTGTCCTGAGATGGTGTTCTGAACCAGAGTCCGTCAAGGGAACAGCCTTGGGGTGTCAAAGAACTTTTGCTACATCATGCGAGTTGTGAGAGAAACTTGTCAAGCCCGAACTTCGAATCGCCGAGCATCTGCGGCCAGCAGCAAATCAATGGTGGTGCTTCGTGAAAAAATGACAGGACACGGCTTTTTGTTTTGGGATTCGAAGCCAGACAGTGGAACATAGTTGGGGCATCAAATACGTTAAGCGCACTGTCAAATTATGCTCTATGTAGTGACCCCAAACCAAACTAGATAAACATTATCAAACATTCGTAGTTTTCTTGTAGGCCTCTTCAGCGTTGGGACCCATGTACCACCCACCCAGCCCTTGCGTTCCGGGGCCACCCATCCAAACCCGCAGGGACAAATGCCACCCATGCAAAAATGCGGGTGCGCAGCTCACAGCCCACAGCTGTGCGCCACGGTGCCACTCATTCAAACCCGCGGGCCCTAGCTCCCAGCCACGCACTACCGGCGCTACCCACCCGGCGCAAGAGTTTTGAAGCCCCAAGCCTTCTGACCTGGGGAAAACCAATCTGTAAACACGAAGGTATGGTTTCAGACTTCATGTCTTGCAGATGTGTACTGAACGGCAGAAGCAAGCTGTGAAAAGCTGATGTGTGTACTCGCAAAAGGACGCTGGAAGTTCACAAGCACCTATAGTCAACTGTAGCCCAAGGTTCTGAACCGGGGGCAGCTTCCTTTGCACAGCCCCAAGACGGTCGCCCCGACGCTGCCGAAGGCTTCGCACAGTCTCGTACACCTCAGAGAATGTCAAAAGCTGTGCAACCAGAATCTGTACATCCTGTTCCTACTGCCTGGAATCCATGATGTCCTCAATGTCATTCATTTTCATGCATTTTGAGGACTTGACTTCTAGAAAAACGTGGGGATCCTGCTGCTCAACGAGGTTGACTGGCACCCCCTTGCCAAAGGTTCCCAGCTGCTGTGATTGTTCGCTCTGGAGGATGCAAAGCCCTGCCATTGGCCCATCAGGCCCCGGCTTAAACTAATGACTAAAGGTTCTTTCCTTTCTTGCATGTCATCCTATCCCTTCAGTTAGCACACACAGGCAGCGTCATGACTCCTGAAATGCTATGTCCCCTCTCAATGCAAGTGGCTGCTGACGGCACGCCGACGCTGGTCAAATACAGGATGCTTTCAAGGGGATCGTCACCTCAATGCGAAGTGGTGGCTCTTCCCGTTTACTATTTGCCAAAAACTGGGTCCCTGGCGCGGCTTGCAAGCACAAAGGATGGAAGGTGGCCGCTCCAAACGGCGCAGGTCAGACTCTACATAGCGGCGGATGTTCTCCAGTGCAGACCGATAGAATGGCCTTTTGCACCGCAAGAAAGATCACTTTGCTTTTCTGCCCGGCCTCGCTCTAAAACTGTGCCGATCGCTGCATGTTACATGCCCTGCCTTCCTGAACACACCAAAGCAATCTGCTCCATCAAAGCCTTTGCCTCTGAAACTTCTGCGAAGAGGGCGCAGAAAATCGCCTCATTCTGACTGTAGAGCGAAGTGTAGGAGTTCCCTGCTAGGATGGAAAACAGCACGCCTCAGATGGCAGAAGCACCAGGGCATTTCCAAATCTGCGAGCTTTCAAGAACATGTAACGCTGAAGACAGGGCACTCATCAGCGCAAGGACGTTTCCAACATACCCCTGCGTCACATCACTCAACGCCCCCATCTCGGTGGATCCGGTGAGTAGCACCCACCTGGAAGGGTTAAGGCAAAGCCTCTACAGTTTCAAAACTGCTTGAGAAGGGCCGGCTAGAGATTTAAACGCCAATAAAATTGATTTATACTTGCCCGAGTGCGCAGGAACACACTTGCAGCAAAGGCGCCAAAGTCGCTGCAGCGTTGGGAAGAACCAATATGCTCCAAGAGCTGTGAAAAGTGACCAGAGTCCCACGCGGCAGACGGTCTTTATCACGTTGCGACGCACCACAGCTCGGAGGCTTGTGACATCATCGCCTGTCAGTGACACGCGGGGTCTAGGACGCACCCTCAAAATTGGCATAATTCATCACCTTCATCCGCTTAGTGTCTGATGGGGCGCACCTTGAAAATCATCGGGGTCTGCAGCTGCAGCTGACCGGAACAGGCGAGAACCAGCATACCGGCTCTTTCCGACCTCTGGCGCAAGAGCAGAAGAGCGGCTTCAAAGCAGTGAAGAGCTTAGTCGAAGACTTCTCACAGCAAAACATCAGCAAATATGGAAACCTCCCTCCAAACATTTTCTGGCCTTCGCTAGCTGGCAGCATGCAGCGATGCTTGCTGCAAACTGCCAGTGCAAACGCCCTGCAGTCAGTCGGGCAGGTCTCTGCAAGCTGGAGCAACTCCTGCAGAAAATGCTGGCACAGGCTGTCCACATCTGCCCGTCGAAGCCTAATCGGCCACATCAACTACTCCTAGTGCTAGAAAGAATACATGCATTTGGAGCTGAGTCCTTGTAAGCTTTCCTGGAACATGTGGAGCTTTGCCAGGATGTATGTGCACCGCAGACGGGCATTTGGCGCTTGGAGCGCTGGCCAACATGTCTTGGAAGTAAAACGTGCTCGCACAAGAAACGGCATGCATGATGAACTATGACTAGGGTTGTAGTTACTCTGGTCTGTGTCCCTTGACGCTGCCTGTAGTTGCATAGCTCGTCTCGATTAACAGGCACCATGTTGGTTCTTCTCGTTGGGCCTGGTTCTTGTTGGACAACAATGATAGCTTACAGCTGAAGGAACGGGATTCGCACAACTCATGTGTTGTTTGCTGGACTTGGCTGCCACGCGAAGTGAAAAGTTCAGAAAGCTGAGAGGTGCTGGAGTGCCCAACATGAAGCATCGCAAGCTACATGGCTTTGCTTGCTAAAGAAGTCCAGCTGAGAAATGCGGTCAGCTTCAGCCAGCTTGTCGCACCAAATAAGTGCCTGGTTGACTTGGTAAGGAGGAGAGCACCAGTCCTGGACTTTGACTGCTTACTGGTGGAGGCGTCAATACGAACCAGACAATAAAGCAATCACGCCTCAACAAAAAAAAATGTGCCCTCACCTATGCCTTGTGCTTCCTTTGCCTTGTGGCACTGATGGATAGACATCATTGTTGTCATCATCGTCATCATCATAGTAAATGTGTTTGTGCTCGGTTTGCGGTTGCTGTGATTTTTGTTGCTGCCAGGTGTGGTTGCTAAGTTGCTAAGCCTTTTTACTCAAGATAGACTCTCTCTGACCAATTGAACCACACAAGCATGGTTCCTGCGCCCGAAATCTGAAGAGGAGGATGTGCCGCATGCAGGCAGCAAAGTGAAGTGTCAATGCTGCCCCAGATAACCCGGGCATGATATATCCTCCCCATGCACCTGCTGGGCCAAACTATCAAATGACATCAGTTGTGCATTTACCAGCGCATCCATGCTGGCCCATACAACCAAGTCCTTTGCAAGTGCATCGATTCAGTAGCATTCAACACTCGCATGGCCTAAGCAGAAAGCCAGGCAAACTCGACAGACAAGATGGCCCCGCTTACCAGGACAACCTGCTGCACAGAATCTCTCCCAGGCACCAGGCACACTTAAGACACAACACAACTGCCATAATTTGTCTCTGCTACACTTTGTTTGCAGTGCCCATTCCAGCATGCAGCAGGAGGAATTGCATAATCCGCCAGGTGGTAATATAATCTCGCACAGATTGCTTTTTTCACGACTTGGAAGCTCCAGATAGTGCTGGGGTACAGGGGTTGGCATAGCAAAGTAGTTGCCGTGCGACTGTTTTGCACTCACGAAGCGCAAGCAACTGCTGGAACATGCTGCAGACAAGGCCGTCCAGAAATTCACCAAAAACTTTGCCTTTGAATTCTCGACAAAAAGCTAGCAGCGCCAGCATGCGCCCGAGTGGCGCGAGTTGAACTCTCACTCATTTGCATTCTCTGGTTGTTCTTCCAGGCATGCCTTTGAGCACCTAGTCCATATCTCTCGCAACGCCTGCGCCGCCTGTGGACCCCTGGGCATGTCGTGTATTGGATGCATTTCATGCGATCGCAGCTCGTGCCCTGTACCGGCACAAGCCGCGGCTGCACACATTTTCTCCACTTCAGGGACACCTTGATGGCACGAACAGCATGCTGGCGGTAGCCAAAGCTAGAAGTGGGTCCCAATTGTGCACGGGTCTTCAAGGAGCTGCGGTTGCGTCGGGGGCCTGGGCGCGAATTTCTGGAGTCCGGAACTTAGCCTGCTGGGATGAAATCTGCTAGAGCTTTCAGATCCTGACATCGATCTAGCCAAGCATTACATGTAGTTTTGGGCGTCTGGCGAAAGCCAGTAACCACGTTCTGTCTGTGTAAGTTTGTGCAGCTAGTTCATCTGCTTGTTTGCGGGCAAGGCCCAGGTAGGCAGATGAGCATTGGCAGCATGGTGGTGGGCGCGGATCTCGGGTCTCTCTTGCATGAAAGTCTGCTTCACCCAGCCAAACAAGCCGTACTGGTGAGATACATTGTTCGGCTTATGCAACAAAACAAATCCATCCACAAGTCCAGATTTCTAAATCTCTCGATTGCACGGCGGTTCCTGCCGCGAAGTTTCTTTAGCCTTTGCATTGAGATGAAGAATCCGCGCACACACGCAGAAGAACTTCCACGTGAACAACTTGAAAGAGTATGCAAACCACACCAAACCGCGGCAAAGAACTCTGCTCGTCGAGGCATCCCAAAGAAATTCATCTGGGACGCATTTTTTTGTTTGTCTCGTTTTTTTGAGAAGGTCTCAGGCGAGAGCTTGATTTTACACTCAAAATTGATGAAACATAGTTAGAAATCATGAAGACTCATGAAAAATTGTGAAAATCATAAAAACATGCGGAACATCATGACACATCATGAACAAATTCGAAATGACGAACGATCATGAAACAATTAAAACAAAGATGAACATCATGGCAAATCATGGAAACTGCTGAGAGACCATAGAAAATGATGCAGCATAATGTATATGATGAAGGCTTGTGAAAAATTTCGAAAACATCAAAAATGAAGAACAACAGTGAACATCATGGAAAAATGATGAAATGGTCCAACATGAGGTACGGTGGTCAAGCATGGGCGGCCTTGAAAAAAGGCGGGGGGTTGGGGGGGTGCGCAGCCCCCCCCCCCCATTTGCAAACAAAATGATGTGTAGCCATTTCTCTTAGTGATGACACGGCGCATCTTTGACACGGTAAGCGTGGATGGCTTTAAAAAAGAAGGGGTGGGGGCCAAGGGGGCAGCCTCTCCCGTGCGCAAACAACATGATCTGTATAAGCATTCCTCACTGCAAACATGATGACATGGTGCTCCTTCGTTACAGCAAGCACGGATGGCCTTAAAAATGGCGTGGGGGTTGGGAGGGGCGACCACCTTGCAAACAACAAGGAAAAAGGTGATGAAAGATGATGGAAACGACTGAAAGACTATGAAAACCAATGAAGAGCATGGAAAAACATGAGCAAGGATTGGGAACTTTCAAAAAACATGTAGTGGATGAACAGGCGTAAAAGTTAATGAACATGGTACAAGATATGGCAACTGCTGAAAGATGGAAAGTATGAACATGCTGAATATGATGATGAATTGTGACGAGTGACGGAAAACGGCAAGCACTAAGCAGAAAGAAAGAAGCAAGAAGCAGAAAACCACAATCGCAGATAGTAGCGATCGGGAAGCTGAGCGCAGTCACTCATCTGTTGGGAGATCGAAGGCAGCAAGAAACAAAAAGGAAAAAGCTGACAGCAAAAAGTAAGAAGCAAGAAAGATAAGAAAGAGAAAGCAAAAAGCAGCATGCAAGAAACAAGAAGCAACAGGCAGAAAGCTACAAGCAGAAGGCAAGCAGCAGGAGCGATAACCAGAAAGCAAAAAGCAAGAAGCAACAACAGAAACGGAGGAAACAAACAAAACTCACCCAAAAAACAGAAATCCTTAAAACGATGCATGCCCATTCATCAGTCTCAGCGCGAAATCCTTCGGCCTGTCTCCGCGTTGTGCGGCCAAGACTCTAACTGTAGTTCCCAGTGGTGTGCACGCCGTGAGCCTTTAGCATGCGCCGTGGATGGTAAAGGCCATCTTCCTCCCCTGTGGAAACTGCAGCTCTCTTTGCCCAGGCAATCGTAGATGACCGATTTTCCTTGAGGGTCGTCAGCCAACGGGATACCCTCATTTTCACCGGCCGTTCAAGCTGCAAGACATCTGAAACAGTCCTGGCACAAGGCACGCCGCAGTAGTCGTGGGATCGACGTGACATGATGCAAGTGTGGTTGGTCAAATGGTCAAGCTCCCGCAGTTAATTCGGTCTTGAATGCTTGCCATACAGAACTGTCCACACTCAAGGCTTACATTGCTCGTGATTCTTCTGGCTGTGCTTCTTTTCTCCAGAAACGGCTCTGCCACAACACTCTGGATCGCTGTGGCATCACTGTCCAAGGCATAGGTGGGCTTCCGAAAACGTGTGAGACAAGTGCTTCGTGCTTTAAGCCACGCACTGAGAACCGGAGATCAACCCTAAATCTATCTTGTTGAATTCGGTGCACAACTGCTGAGTTCTATAACCAAACATAGGTGACACTACTATGAACGACAGTGCCCTCGCTGAACATTCCCAACCGTGCACCGCGCCCTGCACAAGCTGATCGTTTGTGCTTCATCTTACCTCGTTGGAGTGGCGGCTGGCATCTGTGGGTAGGATTTCTCGTGGCAGCTTGTGCTTGAAAGATCGTTGCAACGCTGCTGTTTGGAGACTGTCCAGCAGTGACTGCCAGAGTATCCACCCCAACAGGACCTATGCTAATTGGTGCAGCAAACTGGACATTCACTGTTGCCATCATCTAGCTGACAATGCACTAAGCTTGGAGAGGACTAGGTCCATCTTCTCCTGCGTTTGGAGACACGTCTCAGCTTTGAAAAGCAGCGCAACCATGCCCGACCAATGAGACAGACCTGTGGTAGTTGCCAAGGCACTTTCATGCCCTCCATGGAAGACTCCAACTTGGCCAGACGACGCCCTACGGCAGCATCCTTATGAAGTATCCATAGGCTCAGATTCCCCTTTCCATGCCGCATGCTGAAAAAGCCTGCAGTTTGCATGAGATGCTTGGTGGACAGCAAACTTGATAATTTGCTATGCAGCAAGACGCAGAGCTGGAACGGAAGTCATCGGAGTGGTCCTGCCAGGTGGCATTGTCATAGCCAACATGTTGAAGCGGCATTTCTTCACCCAACCGCATGCCAGCAGCGTTCCACATAAGTACCTGTTCGTTTGAAACCCCACCAAGGCATAATTCACACCTGGTTCTTGTCCATGATCTTCTCATGCATCTCACGGATTTCGCGGCGCAACTCCGTCACCTTCTCATGAACGTTCATGACATCAGCGTCGTACTGGGACTCAATCTCACCCCAGGTGGAGGGATCCCGCGCGCTGGCAAACCACACCTCTGCTGCAATCCCTGATACCGTCCAGATCTTGTAACTCTCTTTTCGTTTCAAACCCCAAGCAGGAGAGCAAGCAATAATGCCAGCATGATGCATGGTGGGCGCCACCTTCGCTCTGCACACGTCGCTTCACGCAAGTACAGGGGCACTTATCCCAGGCACTGTTTATTGTGAAGTGGTGAAGCACCAAACGAGACCGTTCCAACAGGAACAGCCTCTCTCGATGTTCCCAACCTGACAAGATGCTCAACCTTTTTACAATGCGCGGGGACTTGGCCAAAATGGTCAACGCCAAGACACCCCGATTGTAGCTTTCTGCCAGCACCCCGATGAGAATGTTCATCATGATGATCGACATGCTCAGACCCATCAAGACCAGCACAATATCAACCTGAGGGCTTATTTCTGATTGCAAACGCCAACAACAATGGGCTCAGGCAGGGACAGGCGTTTCCCAGTCATCACCGCTCTGCGACAAAGCAGTGGTATTTCTCATTTCGTTCCGGGAGAAGTCTGCCAGAAAACCTCCAGGGTGGGCGTTGGTCTGCACAATAGTTCTCTCTGTCGTAAAACTTGCACCCTCGAAAGCTTGACCATAGACGTTCCACAAATGCCTAGGCGGTACATGACCATCATGGACTGCCACCTGACAAGCTGATGCACTGGGCACTGACATGCTGCAAGCGCATGCCAGGCGAGCAAGTTCACACCATGATTTCTTGCTGCGGTCAAGATGCCAACTCAGCAAACCAAACGAGTAATACATATGAAGGAAACCTCAGCGCAAGGCAAGTCAGTCGATCATACAAGATTCTACAAGACCGACACTTCAAGCGGCAAAATATCCCTACTGCCTCCTGCTACACCGAGTCTGCAAGCAAGCAGCCTTGGAACCAGCAAACAACGACGATGAAAAAGGGAACTGTAGCTGGAATGGCTTTCAGAATTGGCAGCATCGGCTTCCCGGTGCTCTCAAAGCCCTTCAGCGTGTTCAGGACCCTGACTGCCAATGTCATCTGAATCTGACACTGGAAAGAACCAACTGGAATCTTACAAGCTAGGTACGAGCTGCCTCAGCCAGCGGAAACCACCAGTGATTGCAAAGATTAGTCGCAGTTCTTGTCTCTCTCCACATGCCTCCCAATTTGTCCTTGGTACTCGACGGGCTTGATCTCTGCCACCTTCTAACTTCTAGGCTACAAGAGGGTCAAACACTACGTTGCCAATCAAAGCTTCCACAAGGCGACCAAAATGAATCCTGTGAGAAGTATCCTGGCAATGCGCACTGATGCCATAGTGCGGGCATGTGCATGGTATTGACACTTATCAGCGGCTGAGCCTGAAGAAATCTAAGAATGTATCCAGCGAAAAGAAATATTCTTGCAGCTTGCCATGAGCTCGGGAGCCAATACACTGCAGGATCTCGTTGAAGGCATTTCGGATCCAAGCCCTCAGCAGGTTCCCAAGGCATACATAGCGCCAGGTTCAATGCTGGCTTGCTGGCTTTGACAAGTAATTACCCTGACGGTCTGACAGCCGCCAAGGCACATAGCTGCCAAGGTAAGACAGGGCCACCGCAGCCATTCATGATCTCTAACGAGATGGTAGTCATTCAGCAGAAAGGCCAGACACAGGAGAAGGCATGCGACCATGAGATCCTGAGATACCACGGGGCTCCACGCAACAATGCAAGTATTTCCCGCAATGCTAGCGGTTCCGAAGACAGCAGCATGCCTAGGCACTATCAACCTTACGATCCGGGTCGTTTGTGTTTCTGCTTGTCTTGGGTTGCACGTGCACCTCGATCCTGAACCGCTAAACGTAGCCCGTTGCCCGAGTGGAGATTAATTGCATGATGTTGCGAGCATGCATCCAAGAAAAAGCTGACGAAGTGAGCGCGATATGCTTCTCGCCACGCCAAATTGATGATCGCATGCGCGCCCTTCTCGTCGAAGACTCGATCGTTAACTCCAGAAGCCAGAACATACAGCACCTTGAGAGGAAAAAATCTTGAAAGGACATGAATGACACGGGACAGTGGTGATTGCCAGCCTCAGGATTGCGATGTAAGCCGGCGAGAACACAATGACTGATCTCTATCGGTAGTTGCGTAATGTAATCCAGTCTCTCGAACCGATGCGGCAACAGCTGCCGAAAAAATTCCTCCTCTAATCGCTCATCTTCCTGGAAAACATGCATCTGCAGGGATGCAGGCACAAAGTCAGAAGATCATGCGAATCATGTTGCAGAACGCTTGCTGGACTCGTGTCCTTATCCGTGATGGTAGATCTTACGCCCGCTGCCAACTCCATCTCTTTGTGAAATTTGTCATCGAAGTGACTCTTTGGTGGTCCCACGGCAACGTTAAGGTCTCCATGAGGCAAATATGCAGTTTTCCATGCGACCCGTTTCTCGTTCTTCCAGTAGCGAAGTTCACACTTACGGAATACAGCGCTGAGAATCTCTTCCGCATCTGGTGTGGCGAGGAATCGAACAAATTCTTTGACGCCGATCTCGGAGATGACATCCTCTTCGCAGCCTCTTAAACCCTTTGCTGCAGCCGCAATGAGCACCGCGTTGTTTGCCTGGAAGAGATAGTCCACACCTCTCCTGTACACATTCTTAAACCCATAGCGCCTCGGGGACTGTCCACAAGACAACCAAAACAGGCGCAGCTCCTGCCCTCTTCGCCGACAAATAAGTCAGCACCACCTTCAACCAGTAGACGCACCACCTGCTTTAATTGCGCGCGGTCTGTTCTGTTGGCTGTGCTAGCTTGCATGATGGAAACTGCCTACGTGGACCTGCAATCGGCACAACTGTTTCGCATCTGCTGGTGGACCACTAGGTCGAGGACCATTGATAGGTTGACCCAAAACAACATGTATCCCTTCTTGTTATCTTGATGCGCTGCACTGGTTGCACTATGAACGTTTCAGTGCAAAAAACAAGCTGTGCAATCACAAGTCATCACAATTCCTGCCCACCTCCACATGGCAGCCGTCTACAGCATCTTTCAGCTCTTGTGGCCCAAAGTCTGTTCCGTGCGAGATTTGGGCTTTGGAGGCGAGGAGTACTCGCACGACCTCCTTAGCATGCTCCAGCCGTGAAATGCCTGCGCAACTGCCGTCTGTCTGGTTTGCAAGCTGTGACAAGCATCCGGAATATGTCCTAAACAATTGCGGACGACGTAGGAACGGAGGAGGGGGGGGGACCCACAAACCGTCAAGTGAGCCCCTGCATGCACGCAAAGGTCAAAGCATCATCAGCAAGCGGATGCGGACAAAATCCAGGATCCGCCTTGCAAGCCTATGAAAGAAAATCCCATGCTGGCTCCAAGCTGCATCATGTCCCAGGCTAGCGGAAACTTGAAGTGCAGTTTTGGTGATTGTCATGTCGTCTTGAAACCTTGCAGCTCGTTTGAACACATGCTTTTTGGCAGAGGTAACTTGGCACCACCTGGCACTGGAAAGCAATTTTGCTGCTCCACAGCACCAACGCAGCCTAGAAACTTCACTTGTGTATCGGGATTGCCCCTCTGCTGCAACAAGTACTTAACCAAGTGGGCATGTCCAAAGTAGCTGGCATCATATAACAATGTGACGTTGGGCTCATCGTTGAAGCTGATGAGTCGGCCTTGAAGATTTGCGTCATACTCTACCAGCAGCCTCAGCATGTTTCACTTCTGCTTCCGGTCTGGCTGGTAGCACTGACACAAAGAATAGCTTATGCATTTTGGGCGTTCCCAGCGCGCCTCATCATTGACAGGTTGCCCTTCGCAACAGTGGCACAAACGGCAGGACCCCTCCATTGCACACCTGTCCGACCTGCTTTCATCGAGTATGTAGATTCAGGATCTGCTCGGTGTAAAATCAGCAGTCGGACGATGTTTGGCTTGTCGAGTTTGACCGCCAGCGTGATCGGAGTCCCATCAAACTCTTTGGGACCGAGCTTGTAACGCAACCTGACATGGGCCCCGGCATGGATCAGCATGCGCTTGCACAAGCTGGAAACATGCAAAGACTATTCTGGATTTCCCCAGCCGTGCCGGCAGTTTGGGTCTGCTTTGTCTTCCAGGAGTTGCTTCAAGTCCTGGTAGAGCCCCTTGCCAATAAGAATGCGACGAAGCCTCCCCTCCAAGGAAGGGTCATCTGTCGCCGAAAGGTCGGACTGTTCACCTGCGGTGGATACCCAAAGCTATGACGCGAACTAGTGGCACACTTGAGCATAGCAAATCATGTTCCACCTGCCCTTTCAGGCAAGCTGCGAATAAGGGAGACCACATTGTTGGAGTACGCCATTTCCACCAGGCACTATACATCAGAGATGCACAGGCCAGTGCGGTCAGAAAGAAAAAACGCTTTGTTGATTTGCCAGCCACGGTAGCTTAGTTGTGTCGACAACCAGGCTGTCTAGATCAAGCATGAGTTTGTGCAAGAGAGGGATTTGAAAGCAGTTCCTCTCTGAATCATGCCATGCTAGTCAGCTAGTCCGTGAGCCATAAGTTTGCCTGCACCCGAGCACATGCATGCTTCTATGTTTCCTCTGCTTGCTTGATGTTCCAAGCCTCCAAGCAGTCAATCTAGACGGCTTAACCTGCCATGACGGTATAGCACTTGCACACAGACTTTTCGGATCCAATGTCCAACTTCATCATGGCTTACGGCAAAACATCTGGCAGCAAAAGCTCACAGAACATGGATGTAGCCACACCAGCATCGGGCGAGCAGTCTAGCACAGCCTGGCTATTCCAGCACGAACTTCGTCTGATTCCAGCTTAAGGCACATCTCAGTGGCTGCACCTTAAACAGGCCTATCACTCCAGCTTCAGTGGGTCTTCCAACAAAGCGGTAATGAAGGCAGTTCTTTGTACAAAAGCAGCCTCTGGGTGAACATGATCCATGGACATCGGTTTGTCAGCATAGGTTTTGCTCATGACTCTGGATGGGACATATCCAAACCCCGAAGTGTCAATCCTCGCGTGCCGTGTTTTCTTATCTTTCCTGCGCTCCCGCGGGCTGCTGGATCACGTAGAAGGTGTCGTCCTCGCAAATGCATGCAAAGTGCGAAGCCCCGAGCTGCTTGTGAAACTCCTGACAACCCAACACAGTTGCAAGGCCAACATGCACTCTTTTCTGTCCCCAAGCGTATGCCGCTCAACTTCACTGATGGAGCTGGTCCTGCGTCAAGTGCTGCAAAGGCAAAGCAAGGCCAAGGCCAGCGGAGGCTGATGCCACTTCGTTCTGTTGCGTTCCGTGTGCGCTTTGCGGATCTAGCTGCGCAGCTCCCGCAGGATCATCATCAAGTTGTCCAGTCTTGCCTTCGGCATCACAACGCGGGCTTGATTCTTGCTGGCGAACTCAGAGAGCACAACTGAGGCGAAAGCCCGGATGTCATCTACTTTGTGTTCCACTTCGATGAGGCGGCCTGGGTCCTCGCGCTACAAAGAAAAACATTCCATCAGGCAGTAGCGTTTGAGGCTTGTTCTGAGCTTGTACTTTATCTGCAGATTTCTGAAGAACTTCACGAACCTCTCGTCTCAGTTCCGAAATCTTTTCATGGACGTTCATGTCCATACCTTTGCATTTTGGCCACGCAGCTGTTAATGCGTCCGTGCATGATGCAGAGGCCTCCTACCCCACAAAGTGCTAGCTCGGCCAGCTAGGCAACTGTCGAAGTCAGAGTTGACATCGCCCCATGCTGATGGCGCCCGCGGGTAGGCATACCAAACCTTAAGCAGCAACCACTGAGCTGCCGAGATGCCCACGTCCAAGTCAATGAAGATTTGATTGGGGCTAGACTTTTTGTCAGTTTCTTCAATGGCCTTTTGGTGTTTGCCAGCTGCACTGTCGCAGGGCCGCCTGGCCACATGCCTCGCCGCTCTAGTTGCAGGCAAAGCTTGGGGAAAACTGTTGGCATGCAGGACGAGACTTCACTGCAAGCCCGAACCAGAAGTTAAATCCCGAAGTGGCTTCATGCAACTTTTTGGAGAGCACTGTTTGCTTCGGCTCTGGGTTGCAAAGCTTGTCATGGCTTCTGGCAAAATCCTGATAGTGTAGGATGGCATTTCAGTCTGGAAGTTGTGAATGAAGTCAGCGCGACTTTGCATACAATGAGGCGGATTCGAAAATTATGTTCTGGGCTTCTTATGGCTAGAACTGAACTAAAAAAACAGAAGCCGCGCACAGGACTCATGAAAAGCCTGAAGCATCTTGAACGAGGACTTAGTAGCATAATCCATCTGCTCTTCATTTTGCACCCGACGTCTTTGGCATGGACACCTCTTCCACGCATATGACATGGTGAAGTGACTGCGCAGAAACCGCGATCTCTCCAGGAGGAACAACCGCTCGCGATGCTCCCATCCTTTCATCCCACAGAGCCGAACAAACGTAAGCAACAAAACGCCTTGGATGCTCAACACAACGCCCCCGGAAAAGGAAGCTGGATAAACAACTTGACTGTAAGATTCCGCGGTTGTAGCTCTCGGCGAGAACTCCGATCAACACATTGAGCAAAATGATCGACATGCTGAAGCTCATTACCTTGACAGACACAGCATGCTGAAGGCTCGCCTCTCATCATGGCTTTCTGCACTACTCGTGGCATCAGCTGCGGTGATGAGCAGCAACAACTAGGACGAAAGTAAACACCAGCACCAGCACCATGAGCATAAACACCGACAAGAACTGTCAGGAATTTACACAGAGGAAAAATAGCACCAGGAACAGTCATCACCAACAAGCAGCAACATCAAAAACAACAACAGCATAGGATAGCACAGAAGTACGACAACACCACGACAGAAGCGTTGGCAATCATTGGCCAAGCAGCGGCAGCAGCAAGGCAAGGATATCATCGAGAGTAAGATGAGGATAACCCTGAGCAAAGCAATGAAAGGAGCAAGAGAAGACCAGCGAACCAGGACCAAAAATGAAGGCCAAACGTGACACGAATAATTCTAAGTAGAAACCATGAACATGAGCTTTGCACCGCGTCAACTCGAATTTCTTCGAAAAGAAGTAGACCATATGCTGACAGGCACCAGGTATGCAGGCAAGTGGCAATGATGACGAGGTCCACAATCAAACGCCAACTGTTGCTGTCAGAACTCATTTCAGGTGAGGTCTCTGCAAGGAACCCCAGGTTGTACAGGACCGTGATGGCATCCCAGAAATGGACGCCCAGCCCGAAGGAATAGTACAGATGAACAAATGCAGCGAACCAGCAGAAAACTACAAAAAAGAATGGGCCCGTTGCGGGTACGGCCTGCAAGATTGGTAACATGGGTTTGCCGGTGCTCTCGAATCCCTTTAGATTGTTCAGAACTCGCAGCCATCGAAGAAATCCGGTGCTTGCAAAGACTAACCTCAGATTCCAAAGCTCCGATGTCTGCACTCAAGAACGCATCGCGGGAGGTAATCAAGAATTCTTTGCAATCAAGAAGCTGCAGTCCTTGATCGGTCTGGAATGAATCCCAATCGACCACCAGGCCGGCAAGGCTGACGGCAGTGATAATGATTCGCAAGGCGTCTCCTCGTTGGCCGTGCAGATTCAGAGATCTCCAAACCAGTGCTCGACAAACATTGCCTACTGATGTCCTGCGAACCCCAATGAGAGAAAGTGCTGCTTGAGCTTTCCATGGGCAGAATGGCCCATGCAAGATAAGATTTCCTGGCAGATCTTTCGGAGCCAGATCCTGGTGCACTTAGTCATGTTGTGCAAAGGCATGGATGCAAGGAAACGCTCCGAGTTGTCCAGGCAGGAGCTGCCATCCAAGCATCAAGGCCGCCACGGACAAACAGGGTGTCCGCAACCAAGCAGCAGACTGCCATTGCGAATCGTTCAGCAACAGCGCCAGCAACGCAAATAAAACAGCCATGAAGACATCCTGAGGTGTGCTTGTCAAATAGACAATTATCCGTGTCCTCAAGCTGGCCTTTGCAATCCAAGTTGCAAGTGCAAAGGCAATGATTTGCCAGACTTCTGCTTCTCTCCATGCCAGCTGAATGATGGCACGGGCCCCTCGCTGGTCAAAAATGCGATCGTTCACACCGGAGGCGATTACCCATAACACCTCAGGCATCTTGTAGACAAAAGAGCGAGTTAAGCTCAACACGCTAACAACGCTAACTCTTGAAAAAGGCGAAATTATCAGAGCCATCGCCTCAGGGTTGCGGTGCAAGCCAGGTAGCACGCACTGGTAAATATATACAGGAATTTGCGATTGTCCCGGAATCTTCTCAAACCTGTGAGGAAGCAAGCGTGACAAAAACTCTTCCTCCGCGCTGTCTCGTTCCCGATGCCCGTCTGCTAAATCTGCGTCCTTCGACGCAGCACGCTCCATCTCACTCTGGAACTTTTTTTCAAAATGCTCTTTGGCAGGTCCAACAGCCACGTTCATGTCACCATGGGGAACATATGCTGTTCGCCAGACAAGTCGGCGATCGCCTTGCCAATACCGCAGCTCGCAGTTGCAGAAAACTGCATTGACAATCTCTTCAGCATCCGGCGTGGACAGTAATCGAATGAAATCCTCTCAAAATTGCAAAGTCAGCAAAGCACTCAACTCTGCGCATGCAGACATTGACGTTGATAGCGCTCACTTCTGGGCCCATCTAAATATGTCTTACATTGGCTTCAACATCGCAAGGGGTTGTTTGCTCTATCTGAAACGTGCCTCGATAAGCATGGCATCCGTTGCTGACCCCTGGGATTGTTTCAAACCATTCGCTGCCGCAGCAACCAGAACAGAATTATTGGCTTCGAATAAGTAGTCGATTCCTCTTGCGCCGACGTCTCCTCCAAAAATCTCTGCCTTGCCTGCAGGGTTGATTGAAGCTGCGAATTCGAGAGTTGTACAGCCCCTACTGAAAAACACGTCCGAAGACTGAGCTGAGGGTACAAGTAGCTTCAAGCTCCCCAACCTTGAATCAGAAGGCGAACAACCTCGGCAAGTTCCGCATGAGGATTCACTCACAGTGCGGTCTACTGGGTGCAACTGTCAGGCAAGAAACCTCCACATGACAACCATCTACGGCATCTCGAAGTTCCGGCGGGCCATTTGGCATGGCGTGCGAAATCTGCGCTTTCCCAAGCAGCAAGACTCTAACTACTTCATCATGGCCCAATGAGGCGGCTATGTGCAGCGCAGTCTTGGTGATCGACATGTCGTCCTGCTGCGTGGACGTTCCAACGGGGGGATTGCTGTCTGGAACTATTGTAGTTAAGCTTGGGGGCCTGGGATTTGGTAATTACCCGCGCGCCGCCGGAGTTCTAGCAAAATCCGAGGTGCATTGCATGTTTTGTCCGAGTTTGTGTGTACAATAAGTTTGGTTTTTTGGAGGAAAATCTGTGATGTTGTGGGTTTGTTCAGTTGTGCACTGCTAACCATGGTCGTAATAAACAGCGCACCATGCTCTCAGTAATCACTATGAACTCATGATGACACAGTGTTGAAATACAGGTATAATAAATGGGAGCTGAGAAAACAATAAGGTCAACCCGTGTATTTGCGTTTTATCCGCGCTGCAGCCAAAAATTTGAGCGACTGGGAGCAGCGACACCCGGTGGAAAACATGATTGGGAAAAAAGGTTTGGGGCACTCGTGCCGCACCCCGTCCTAGCGGCCACCTCAGCATCCAACACCCGCCCCGTCCTCGGCCACTCTGCCACACGACCTTTCTGGCCACCACCACGCGCGCCGCACCGCGCCCCCTCGCGCCCCCTCGCGCCTCACGCGTGCACCCCGTCCTCACCAACATCCTCACTGTCCACCACCACCCTCGCCGCCTCACCAGCATCCAACGTGCACCACCGAACCACGTCCTCGCGGTCACCCTCCCTGGCTGTCACCACCAGCATGGCTCCTCCGCGACCAATCTCTCGGCAAACCTCCCTGCCGCCGCTGCTCCCACCCGAGCCGCAACGTGCCGCGCGCGCAACCTCCCCGCAACCGCCCAACCCTCCGCGACCAACCTGCCCAGACGCCGCACCGGGCCGCGCGCCGTATCGCTGCTCGCAGTTTGGAAAACCAAAAGATTCGAGAAGAACCCAACCCAAGAAGGGCCTTTGGGAAAAGACAAAAGGACCACATCATGACATACAAGCTGCCATAGTTATACCAAAAAACGAAAATACAGAACATTTGCACAAACATAAACGATGGCAGTAACCATGATCGTCCTGATAATGGTTACTATGGTTACTCCGTCTCCGGCTAATCCTAAGCCTCCGCCACTAAAAATCTACCCCGCATCCGCAGGCGTCATTTGTTGCCAGCACGATGATAATCATTGTGAGAATGGTAATGACAGTGCTTCTTATTCTGAGTGGTACGCACAATCATGATGAATGAGCACTTCCTGCTACGAGAGACACACACACAAACATAATCATTCAGCTCAACATGTGAATACTTCTTACTAACAGTCCTAGGACAACATGCAATCCTCCGCGAGTTTCTGCAAGGGCTTGCTTTCCAAGGGCCCTGGCTGAGCTCTGGCTACCGTGGTCTGAAGTTCTGCTGTAGGCAGGACGCTGTGGTTGGTCTGCTGATGAAGGCCCTGTGACATGTGGCCACAAGTTTCCGCGACAAAGGGTCGGCGGTCTGGAGCTTCCTTCGGGGGTTCGGCCTTTTCTCAAAAAATCTGTGCCTTCCGGCTGTTTTGACCTGTCCCATCGTATGCTTTCCCCTGGTTTGACCCGATCTTCTTTATTTTCTTTTTTGTTTGTGCGTGCCTAATACTGGTACAGGCAGTGGTACTAGTACTGGTACTAGTGCCACCAGAAGAGAGACAATCAGAGTGGCATAAGCAAGTTCAAAAATTGTGACATTTCATCGTCAACAAATGCTAATGATGGAACGATAATGAACGTTATAAGTGAAAGTGGCATTCATCTTTCACGTAGCTGTAGTGGTGCTTGAAGTTGAAATTGTATTTTGTTGCTAGTGCTAGACGAGTAGCTAGCACAGTCTCTCCCTCTCGCTTTGTTCCCCCTTCCTTGCTTTGCTTTATCCTGGCTTGTGTTCTTCCTATCTTCCCTCCTCTGGCTTCCTGACGACTTTTCAAGACACTTCACACACACAAGCCTGGGAACTTCTTCACAAGCGTGCCCCCAACGAATGAACAGCTGCTCTTCTTGCAGAGGCAATGAATCTCAGGAAAAGAGGATCCAAAAGTATCCAGAACTAAGAACGAAGATCGGCCCCCCACCCATCAAATCCCTGTGACTGTTGGCACATTGACACGAATGATCGCCACACTTGCGACAGCTTGCCAAGCGCTTGCGGACACCGTGTACGGATTGCGCCCCGAATCCCCAACACCTTAAGGCAAAGCCCTACTGCTTTGTATCGGGAATAGGCCCTCGAGTCAGGAAAAGTTGCAACAGGCATGCTTCAGTGATCCTGAAACCTGACGACGGTGTCCGGGTTGCCCTTTTGCTGGAGCAAGTACCGGACCACATGGGCATGGCCAAAGTAACTCGCATCATACAGGAGAGTGACATTCGGCTCGCCGTTGAACTTGATCAACCGCCCGTTCAAATTTGCCTCAAAGTCTACCAGCAGCCGCATCATTGACAAGTTTCCACGCGCCACCGTGCCGCAAACTGCAGGTCCATTCCAACGTACACCAGAGCGACCGGCAGTCATTGAGTAAGTCGTCTCCGGATTGGCTCGGTGAGCAAAGACTAGTTGTACCACCTCAGCGACTGCCATCTGAAGCATGATGACCAATGCGAAGCAAACAAAGGCACCGAACCAACAAACAAACTTCATGAGCGATCCTCAAAGCTGCGCTTGGAAGATCACGCTTGACAGCAAGGGTCAAAGGTGAGCCATGAAATTCCTTCGGACCCAACTTGTACCGGAAGGCGCAATTTGGATCTGCTCTCATGTCAAGAAGGCCTCGAACGTCTGCTAGAATGCATTTTCCCAGCAGGCAGTTTCGCAGCTGTGTCGCTAAATCATCCGTCTCAGAGAGTGAGAATGATGGCAGCTGCGATGACGACGCGCCCGCGGCTGGATGAGGCACTACGTTTAGCATCGCCACACATGACTGGAAAGCCAGAGGCGCAGGCAACTTGGAAGGACTTGAGCCCGCATGCTGAGTGTTCTAGGATCCCTCGGGAGGTGCATTGCTATGACCAATGAGAGCAGTATCAATCGTCGAAGCGACCCGGCCAAGCCTTCAAGCTTCGATTTACACTGCACATTTTCATCGTTTTTTTGCGGCCAAGACAACCAGCTGTCCAGCAATAGCACTGTAACGCAACTAGCATACGGAAAAATGTCAGTAACTTATCTGCAGATCCCTTCTGCGTGATAAGCATGGCATGCTGCAGAATCAGCAGTTCTTTTTGGCAGGATCAGGCATAACAGCGTTCTAGCACATTTTTGATCTATCTCTGTGCAATTCAACGGTGATGGGCAGAGGCGGCAGAGATGTTGGTGCTGTTTGTTGACACTCCAGCTCCATGCTGGGATCCATTGTTGCCGCGCAAGCTGAATGCTTTCACGATCTTGACATTCTAATGTTGTAAGCCCCGAAGGTCCAACGCCAAACCCTGTATTACTAAGAACTCAATAAGCTCGAAGACTCCTGGATCCTGCAGAACACTACTATCTTGTCTGTCTCTTTGGCCTCCCAGAGGAGCAAACAAACAAGTCAGGAATGGCATGGTCAAGGATTCCTGTCCCGGCACAGGGTGCTGCCCGATTTTCGACCGTCCGCAGTCTATGAGTTTCTCAAGTGCTGAAGATGATCTTGTGTTTGAGGCCTGAGTGTGCTGCGCAACCTCCTGTGTCACTGAGTTGGAAAGCTGTAGGGCCACTGTAGGGCATGGACAGTCCATAGATTGAGCAGATTCTCTGATCAGCCTGCTGTTGGTACTCCAGAGCTGGTAATAATTGCCGATTGCAACTTGGCACCCAAGCTCCATACTTCATCCAAACCTTGCAATGGTAAGGAGATGCAGAATGGCCTGGTGGTGACAGGCTTTGGCAGTCAGACTGTTGACCCTGAGGCGTAAAGACCGTCTCAAACTCAGCCGCACGCCCTCCGCCCAGCCGAACTGTGATGGTGAGGAAATCTGCCAGAAACACTCTGCAAGCACCCCAGCACCCTCTAAAATTATGGAGCTGAGCAAAACGACCTGTCCAGCTGCAAGACGTGGTTTCATCGAAGCAAGCCAGGCTGACCGACAATCGACTCACGGCGGCACGCAGCTACCTTCCAGGAGTTGCAGCTTTACCACTCTTAGACCTTTGGCCGACTTTTAGAACCAAGTCGACAATCCTCATAGTCCAAACATGACCCCAAGCTGTGCCAGTGCCCCAACGCGCTTGCACAAGTGGACGTGGGAGAGAGATTTCCTGAGGACTGTCCTGCAAGGGTGGGGGATCAAACAAAAATCAAATCAAGATCAAAAACTCAAAATCGGGGATCGACGAAGAGGATCAAACAACTCAGAATGAAGAAGTTTCAGATATTGATTTGCCCAAGGACCTGTGCCTGTTCACAGTGTTGCGTGTCGTGATGCTCCTGCGTAGAGCGCCCTCGCAATTTTGCTCGACAACCCTCTCAGTGTTTGCGGCACCTCTGGACGCTCCTGCGTGGAGCGCCCGTAGAATTTTGCTCGAAGGAAGGTTTTTCTGTGGAGGTGTTTGGCAACAGGGCGGCTTGATGTTTGATCGGTAAGATGATTGGACATGGAATTGGACACGATGCGGGCTTCATGTTTACAAAGAGCCGGGGAGTTGGGGGCGCAGCTCCCCCATTTGCCATCACCATTGTACGTGACACGGGTTCATGTTTGAAAAGCAGGAGCATTGGGGGGCGGGGGGTCGCAGAGACCCCCCCATTTGCAAACCATTGAGGAATGTGGCAGTTGCTGATGAGGATGCGCTTTTAGACATGAAACGGGCTCATGTAAAAAAAAGGGGTGTTGTTGTCGCGGGCAGCCCCCCCATTTGCAACCACTGAGGAAAGCAGCACTTGTTGATGAGGGTTCACTATTAGACACTTCATGTTTTGATGGAAAATGATGAAACTAATGGAAAGTCATGAAAACGGATGACAGGCTGACAGGTGATGAAAAAGCTTTAAAACAAGTATCGGACAACATCGGACATGATGAAAATGGTGAAGCATGATGGAGTGAAATTTAATGAAATGTGACTTACAAAGATGGAAAATCAAGAGGACGAACCGAAAACATTGAAATGATGGAAGCCAATGGACAACCTTGACACATGGTGAAGAGTGAAGAAAAATCCCTGCTCTCAACTCCAAAAGAGCTCCCCCCTCCCCTGGAAGGCATTATTTCAATGCCTGGGAATGCCTTGCCAGGCCCGGGAACCCGGGTCCCTGGATGAGATAAATGCTCCCAAAATGCCGTTAAAATGTTACATCTCAAGTGGATATATAATTATCAAATGCCAGCAAAAAATGCATCTCACTCGGCCTTTCCTTTTGCTCGTTTCTTCTGGTCACCGAGCACGGTGCACTTGAGCTCTCTATGGTGATTTCTATGGACTTATTCCTTGCGAGTGGTCTGTTTGCAGTGCTTCCATCCCTACCCCGGCAGTGAGACGGGGACTGTCGTGCGGATATCCTTCCAGAACTGGATCCGCGGCCCAACAGCAAGCTCCGGCACCACGAGTCTAAACTTATTCCAGACTGTGCTTGAGCTTTTTTAAAAGCACCTCTTTTACCACCTGCAGGCAATTAAGATCCAGTCGGACCAGGCGTGATAGAAGAATCAAAAAAATGAGGATTACGATAGAAAAATGACGAAACTGATGGCAATAATGAACAATAATCAAAATGATAGATAATGTTGATAAGGTTGAAAATGCTAGAAAATGATGAAGATGATGAAGAATCATGACAACGATGAAAAATGAAAGATAATGAAAATTGTAAAATCATGATGAAATGATGAAAAATCATAAGCAACCATCATAAGCAATGATGAAAATCATAAACGATGAACAATGATGAAAGTGATAGAAAGGGCTGAAAAGTAATGAACATGATAGAAAACGATGAAAATGAAGAGGTATGAAAGAAAATTATGCAAAATAAAGAAAAATAGAAAACCGATTTTTAATGATGACGAATACTGTTGATTTTCTCTGAAACAGGATATTTTGATTTTTATTGATCCTCACTTGATTTTGTTGATCCACATCCCCCCGAATCCTGACAAGTTTGGCCCCACAAGTGATCAAACAAATTCAGATTTCACTCAAGGTGAAGTAGGCCGGCAGACTGTCAAGCTGCTGAAGCAGCTCCATACAATCCATAGACATAAAGTTATGATCCGCTGTCGAAACAGCCCCCTTCAAAGTTAACCCGAACTCTCGCCATGGAACCTTTCCCAACCAATCAGCTGTGGCTTCTTGCCGCTCTTGCCGCACCTTTTTTTTCCTGACTAGCTTGACCTGGTTGCTGGGCTTCTGAGTGTCCGTGCACTTGCGAGCTTCTCGCAGTTTCTGACAGATGCGTCTTCTCAGCGAATATGCTCCTTACTCTGAAGCCACCAATGATAGCCGATAGCCGGCAGGTTGCACAAACAAGATCTCGCGACTCCCAAAGAGCATTGCAAATGGGACGGGACAGATTGAGTTGGCTCCATATTTCCATTCTGCTGGAAGTAAGGTTCCTGCCAACTCCTTGAGGTGGGCCAAGTTCCGCACCTGATCCAAGATAGTGGCAGCAATCCCCATCAACACCTCAATTCCAAGACCACGGCGGCAATTCCGTTGACTTGCTCAACCACAGGAGCACCAACCCAACCACTGTCGTAGCCTGCATCAAGACAGCCCGTTTGGCCAGACCGTTTGACTGTCAGTCTGTCGCATCACTCCTGCCTGTGTTGACCACATCAGCCAGCACCTGAATCAACTGGTTGTTCCTCAAACCCCTTTGGCTTTGTTCTACTCAAGAGTACATTTGCCTTAGCGACCGCTGTGTGGGTGCACTGCCGCAAGTGTTGTACTGGTTTGCGTGCCAAATCTCAAGTTGATTTATGTTGATTTCTGATCGCAAGAGTGCCCGAGAGCAGGCCTGGGCGAGGATGATCGCCTCATCTCTTTCCGGAGTCACATGCCCTGATAGGAACAAGTCCTCCCAGCAGGAAATGGTGGGAATGGCCCATTCCATGTAATCCCCGAAGTCAACCTCTCCTGCAAGTGAGCTGGGCGCTCATTGCCAGCCCATCCTTGTAAATATTCGTTGCCTGGGGCTCAGATAGTCACGGTGCTGCAGAGCGCTGCGGAAAGAAATGTTGCATGTTACGCTTGGCAGAAACCCCTGTCTTGTGTTATTATCTGGTCTTTTCCTCATGTGCAAGCCACCCCCTTGTGAGCAAAGGCTAGACAGTCAAGGTGCGAGATGATGCGGGACGTCACGTGCAGAGGGGCAAGCAAGCGCTGCGGTTCAACATCACCAAATGTTGACTATCAGCTGCTGGCTCAGGAACCCCAGCGAGCAAGTGCGTCATTGCGCACAAGGCTTTTAGTTAGTTCAACCGTTCAACCCGCTTTTATAAACGGCCCGAAGGATGTGCTAAATGCTGTCACAGCAAGCACCACACGCAACGAAGCAAGCACCGTGCAGGGCGGCTGACCGCATTTAGCAGCTTCAAATAGCTTCAAACAGTTTCATTACATGCCCCGCCCCTCTGCCATGCACCGCCCCATCCGCTCCTGCAATCTCCTGAAATCTCTTGCATGGGGGTCATTCCCTCCTACACGTGCCCTGGTGCTTCATGCCATTCGCGTGGGAATGCGCCAGGCTTCACAGGCCTTCCGTACCTTGTACACTTACGTTTCTGTGATGCCCAAGGATTTGAGATGGCTATACCATGCCTGACATGGATCTTCCGCAGCCTCATGCTTTGGATTGTTCGCTGATCTCTCGTTACATGTGAGCTCATCTTATGTGAGCTCAGCTCACCTGCGAACGTGCCCAGCTGATGTGACGCGTCAAGCAGGGGCACTTGAGTAAGGGCCCTGCTCAGCGGCTGGAAAACCAGCCCTCCAACCATGAAGAATCGCGGTCGAGTGTCAAATTGACCCCTGGGAAGATGGGGCTAGCCAGGCCGTGCACTGCGCGTCCAGCAGTCTTGAAGCTAGCATCCAGGAGAAATGCCTGGGTACCAAATGCTGCGCTGGCCGAAGGACCTGGAAGCCAAAAGTGCATATGAAGCTCATGCACGAATCAAAGCAGGGCGCCTGTTCGACAATCTGCTCAGCCTGATCTCTCCAAATCTTCACGGTCACTGAAGAGCCCACGCGGCCTGAAGGAAACGATGGCAACGAGAGTGCCCTGCAACAGTTCTACAGCTCAAGGCGCTGACAAAGATCTCGCGCAGCTCCAAAGTGCAAGCGACGTCCTTTTTGACCAGGCAGAGTTTGAAGTCGACCGTTTTGTGCTGCTATGTTTCGGGTGCGTTTGTTTCTGAAAGATCCAGGCGCTGTGTGGCAACAGCATGCATCTGCACTTGTTTGCCGTGGCGGGTTGCCCTGTGTTCCAAGAGCTCCATGCTTTCATTGCATGATGAAAGGTGCTAACTCTATCTTTGCTGGCACTTGCAGCTGCATAGGCCTGCTGATTGTTCTCCAACTCAACAGGCTCCGCCGCAAGTGCTGCGGTTGCTCTGTGGACAGGCAAACGATCCGGAAATTCGTTCATGTCTTGGTTTTGGCTTTCTGCATCACCTTGAATGCAGGCCGTGCGCACTGTGGACTCACCAGAAGGGCTGACTGACATCGCCAACGCCATGACTGGCTTGCAAAGACATGGACCACCATACCAAGCAGCAAGAAGCAGGGGTTGCGGCCCAAAAGGTTGCAGAATCCGAGCTCATCTAGCTCAAAGCCTTGGCAACGAGTTATTTGTGGCTCTGCTATTTTGCCACAAAAGCGACTTCAAATTGCGGATCACGCGAATCTGTCTTGGGCACCAGCCGTTGAAAGACATCAGCACATCCCCGCGTTGCAAGACCTGGAAAACACTGATTAGGGTTTGCAACACTCGCATGAGCATCTGGAAGGAATAGCTCTGGGACACGGGCAGGTGGGGTGCTGCTGGCCTGTATGAGTGGGAAGGACTGCAAACAATCGCATGGACTACTCGTGTCCAAGTTTCTTTGTGCAGAATGTCGGAGCTCGCTGGCCCAAGCAGCTGGCATTGTGTAGTCTGCTGACCAGGATGCCTTTTCGACCGCCCAGCCTGCATGTCAAAGTGCGCATATTGCATCATGCTGCCATGAGCACGTATTTGCGATCTAGCGTCTAGAGCATGAAGAATGATCCAAGTTGCTTGAGATGTTCTCGCAGGGCTGGTGGCTCGAGCGACTGGTAGTCGCAGCCTTTGGTCTCCGAGAGCAGCATCCAGAAATCACATAACTTGCTCACGCTCCCAGCCAAGGGAAGGCATTCGTAGCCGAATAGTTGTCGGGATGCCCTTAGGGTCTGCGCCTTGATGTGCAGCGTGTTGGATAGGACTGAAGTTCCCCTCCTGGGCCGCGGGCTTGCAACATCCTCCAGAAAACGCTGGATCACTGGCGATGGAACCGCATGGCCCTGCGTATCAGCTGATTCCACAATGTGGGCCATCGTCTGCAATTGCAAGGATCACCTGAAGCTCGACCCCTCTGGCGACCATCTTTTGAAAAGCAACGCCCACAACCTCAGCCATCCTGGTCAAGATTGCTGCTGCATCAGGCTCCCCTGACACCATCTTAGCTGCAAGCATGTGCGGTGGATGCGTCTACCAGTGGTCCCCCGCTGTTGCCACCTCGTATCTTTCAGGACGTCTTAATCCACTGGATTTTCACCATCCTTGGCAACGGGCTATTAATGGCAGCGTCGACAGTGAGTGCCAGCCTGGAGCAAGGATAGGAACACTGACCGCAGCTGCTTCAAAACTTCAAACCAATGATCTATTCATCTTGTGCATTGTGCTCGCTCTTTTCGCCTTTTTTGATCTGCCCTGCCCCACTGTTTCTATTGCAACTCATTCAGTGTGCTGAATGATTTTCCAAGATCATCAGATAATTTTCTGTGATTTGCCCTCCCATGATATTTCCACCATTCCATTTCCTCATTGCTGTCCACAATGTTTGCATTGTTGTAAGTTTTCCTTTATTTCCAATGTTTTTCAGTATGTTTCCACTATGTTCCGATTGTCTCCCCCACGTAAAAGTAGCAGAGGAGAAACCGCCAGACAACAAATCCAAGATTTGGTCGTATCCATCAAGGCAATGCTAAGCGTAACAGTAGAATTATATGTCTTCATCGCAACGGCACCATGGCACAATATCTAGTACTCTCTTCCCACTTCCGCCATGTTTTTTCGGAACAAAGCTAAGGGGGACCCGTTTTCTGGAAGCTCCTGAGGTGTCCAACGTCGACGCTTGGCAAACCTTCTTGTTCGGCTGCACCTCACTGCACCTTATCGTTGGTCCTCCCTTCGGCGAGGTGGTGCCGCACATGAGTATCGTGTCACTCATAACCCTGCTGCTGTGTGATTGAACGGACTGCAGTTCGTACTGCGTGAATTTAATTGTGTGACGGGGTGGCCCAGCTATCAAAATTGCAGCTGCCTGCTAATCAGCTTAGACATTTGCAAGCACTGGCGCGTAAAGCGCGACTTGGCTTTGACGCCGTCAGGGTAGATTATTGCGTGTGAAAAGGAGGCGTCAGTACCGTGCACGCGCACGAACCGTGCACAAGGCGCTTTCACCCGCCCACTACCTTCCATTTTTGTGTTGTTTCCCGTTCTCATGTTCCTGCTTGAAAGGTTACAGAAAGCTGCACTATGCGCCAAGTGGGTGCAGGGTGACTGTTTTTCGTTTGAGCACGGGCTCCATTGTGAGGGCCAGCCGGATGGGGCATTGTTGGGACTTGTTTGGTCGCCTGGGCCTTGGGTGTTGCTTGCTTGGGGAGCCGGGGGGGCTCCATAGCTGCTCCCCCGGCGGGCTTGCTCTGAGGCTTTTGCGCCTTCTCTTGTCTCACGTTGTTCGTTTGGGTGAACTGCGCACTCTAGCGCAGCTAGTTCCGCAAGAAGTTTGCCACGGCTGTCCCCACATGGCTGTAATCAATCACAAGAGATTCGGACGCACCAGCACGTTGCCCGGACTTGGCCAACAGGAGTGATCCAGTTCCTTTGCCCCGGGCCAGCACAAAGTCACCACACCGTGCGGCAAAGAGTTCACCTGACCTGGCAAAAGTATGAAAACGACGAAGGATAAGGTTTTCCCTGCTGCTTAAGAACTTAAGAAAACTCAAAAACCGTGAAACATGCTCAAGGTAACGTGATTTAGTCTCCGGATCTCAGGGTTCCTAGCATTTTGCGCTCGTGTTTTCCCTCTTGTTTGGTCCTTTTGCTCAGCACAGTTTTCCTAGGCATCGCGGGCTCACGGGCAGCCCGGCGTGCCACACACCTAGACGGTCCGGCTCCAGGGTTGTACTCTGAGCGGACGTACTTTGTTGTTCGAGGCCAGCAAGGGCGAGTTTCACCTGCGCAAAGTGCTCTGCGTCACGTGGGCTGAGGCTCGTCCTTTCGTGATGATGCTCACCACTGCCGGACTGGCCACCATCAGGAGGAACTTTTGGTTCCCAGAGTTTGCAGCACGATTCAAGCGCTTTATGAGGTTTGACACAGCAATGGCCTCGGTGATATGGCCGGTTCGCTGCCACCGGTAGCTCATGAGCACCTTCCAAATCCACAAAGTTGGGTCATGGCCTGGAAGGGTATCTCATAGTCGAGGCGAATGTCTGTTCCCCTGTGTGAAACGTTGCGGCCAATCATCATGGCCAGGAACTGCTTCTCCGTGAGTTCATATCAGAATCGATCGTGAGCCGAGGAACAGCGCCCGTATTATGCCCCTCCGGACGAAAGGGCAAAACGGCGGCACCATCCCCCGAACCTGGACCGAACCTTTTGCCTTTGTTCATCTGGGCAGCGCAATCCTCCATCTCCATGGCGTTCCAAGCGTCCCAAATTTCCTTGGTACCTTTGCGGACTCCTGCCTGCGCTGTCATCGACACCGAGCGGCCACCACTGAACTGGTTCTTACGGCCAGGTTGCGCTACAGCGGATGAGGTGAACAAGCCGCTCCCTACCTTTGCACGTCCTGCGCCGAAGCAACGTGCCCCCTCTGAGCCCGCCGGCGTCGAGAATTGCGACGCAAAGACTTTGGGCAGGTGGAAGGGCGACTCCTGGCGACTGGCACCTCACCAATATATGCTTTGAGAACATGGTGGTCAGGCTCCATGGCCAGCGAAGGCTGATTTCCGATGAACAGCTGAGGATGTTGGGCTTTAACAGCGACCAGCTCGACTGTAAGCAGAAGGTCACGGAGGACCACCGCCAACAAGTAAGCGGGAACTCCTGGCCTGTCATCGTTGCCGCGCGCTTGCTCCTGGGTCTGGTGATGACAGAGGAATGCCTAAGGCTTATTGCTTGAAATGCTTGAACATCTCGACGCTGGTTGCCCACTGCCCCACGGCGCTGTTGCAAATGAACTTCAGGTCTCGGCCCAAAAGCGCATCAACACCTCTTATCCACCGCAGCCGAAGTCGCCGGCAACGCAAGGCCTGGACGCTTTCGCAGAAGGTGGACTTCCAGCCTGTCTTTCCCGCATGCACATTGAGGTCCGCCATGACCACGTTCTCGTTCTCGCAAGGACGGATTTTCCAGAAGGATGAAGCGCCTGAAAAAAAGAGCGACTGCCAGCATTATCGAAGTGTTCTCGTTCATGCAGTTGCTGGACAAAACTTTGAAGTTTGTGAGGTCTCTAGAGGCGTCCTGCTTTGTGCGCGTGTGCACGCTGGAGTGCACTAGTCCTATCCATTTGTCCCAACACCGACCCCAATCCTCCACCAGGAAGATTGCACGCGAAGATTCAATGGGAATATAGCTAGCTTTAGCTAGCACCACATTTATAAAGAAAACGGGGGACCCTAGGCGTGCGCCTTCTACGTGTTTTGCGCAATTGTTTTTGGAAAATACACCTAAAGCCATATCAGAAAACAGTAAAAATATGTATTAAAACACATTAAAAGCCGAAAATACCACCCCCAAAAAAAAACACACACAAAAATACAAAAAAATACCAAAAA